TAAATTCATGAAGTCTAGGTACCAAAGTGGAAAGATCATCAGAATAATTACCATGAAAGTATTATTAGGAAAGGCATAGGGAAGCTACATTATAGCAGTGGGAAAGTGACTGAAGCTGAGATGCCAGGTCAGAATGAATAATATAGCAGATTCTTTGGATTTAAAGCAGTTTTCATTGTAATCTACTAATTTCTGGCATATATGTGGACTAATTTTTCTTGGTCTAAATGACTACAGCTTTCAAACTGGCATTCGGAATTCACATTCAGACAGTTCAATGGTTTATTTTTTAAAATTGATCCCTCCTCCCACACACACACACACAAAAAAAAAGTCTGGGTTCGTTCACTTCATATATTATTTTTTTTTATTTCTGACTGAATAATAGCTTAAATTTGATGATCTGATCCATAAAATGTTTTCTATTATTAGAGTGGCTTGAATTAATCAATCATGTGGAAATTCTATGAGGCTACCTATTCAGAGTTTTTGTCCTGTTCACTTATTTCGCTTTTTTATTACAAATATAACTTATATCCTAAATGCATTTTATTATATGTATAGACACATATAAATATGTATAATAAAGTTTAATTTATAAATTAGATACAATAAGATATTAACAACAAGAACTAATAATAGTACAATTATAACAATATAGTGTGATAAAAATTATATTACTGTAGATCTTATTAGGTGCAATAAGAGATTAATAACAATTTGCAAAATCTCACTAAGTAACCAAACATCAGAATTTTTTTTTCTCTCCTTGGTTGGGTTGAGAACTTTTCATTACCCAATTATTTATTTTTCTCTCCTGCTAATTTTTTGGATTTGCAGGTAGCATAGTAATCAATTTAACAGAAACTGAGCTGATTTTAAATTTCAGTCTTGTCTGTTGCATTCCTTTCACTGAATCCATCTCTTCTCTGTTCCCCTCACTATGGGTTAAACAGGTCTAGGAGAAAGAAAACTCTGAATTCCAAACCGTGGAGTAAGAAATTTATCTTGTCAAAGAAATCATTGTAGTTCACATACATCATTAAATAAAAAAGGAATGTGTGGAGAGCCCTGATTGCTTATATCCTGAAGGAACATGGTATTAAAAGAAAGTCTATATTTGCTTTTTCTGTTATTTATTCAGGTATATCAGAAATATTTTCTTTTTTATGAACTTTTTTTGTTAAAAAATCTTGTCTCATGCTCTACATGTGGGATCTTTCAAAGACACTAGCTTTTCAGTGGGGGGGGGAAGATTTCAAGTGATGGTTGTTTCATCTCTCTTCTAGTTTTACAGCATCATACTCGACAAGTGATGATTTGTCCACTTCAACGCTTTATTTCAAGGGGCAGGTCACTAGCACATCACCCACCACCCACCCCCGGGGCTTCAACCACTTTTGGGCAGTTCTTTCATTATCTTTCTTTTCCTACAGTTTTGATTTTAATTATGAGAATCGCAATTCTTGTATCTGCCATTATAACATTTGAAACAAAGAGTACAGATGAATAAAAACTGAAAATAATAAGATACATATTCCTAATGGTAATATTAGCCATTTCCTGATAAGGAAACATTTGACATTTGTTTACGGAGTTCTCAGTTCAAGTTGTACTCTCTTTCACTCTCTTGCCATGGGATGGGATCAAAGTTTAGTATCTGTTCTCCTCATCTCTTATGATAATGATAATATTAGCCATTTTCTTATAAGGAAACTTTTAGCATTCATTGACCAAGCAGTCAGTGCTGCTTGAGTTACTTTTCTTCACTCTCTGGCTATAGGATTGTATCAAAGTGCAGTATCAGTTATAGACAGGAATAAAAATGTTCTCATCTCTAATAGTAATATTAGCTGTTTCCTTATAAGGAAACATTTGGTATTCATTAACCAAGCAGCCAGTGCTACTCAAGTTATGCTCCACTTCTCTGTAATCAATGTGTAGTATCTGTTCTACTCGTGCTACTTTCAGTTGAAATTTATAAAATCTTTATCTTAAAACAAATTTTAAGGAAGATAGGTTTTTCAAGTCCAATAGCTGTTATTGCTCTTTCCAGTATTGATGGAGACAACATTTTAATTGTCATTATTTTCTATTTGAGTTGCAAGCAATATCCATTTTAGTTGTTACTGCTGTCAAAAGTCCTCATGTGATATGGTTTTGTATTATTTGGTAGAGTTCTTTGTTTGTGAATCTTTAGTGTCAGCCTACAAAGTTTGATAAAGGATGGCCCTCACTAAGACCTACAAGCAGTTGTATCCAGTTTATTGTTTAGATATTTCTGAATGTGTTTGGTGCAATGCCTGACATCCATAATATCAAGGACTCATAGTTTTTATATTGTACATGAAAGTAGCTTTTAGAATAAAGGGCAGTAAAATGTATATTTTCAAAACACCCTAGTATATAATAATAATAATTTAAAAATTAAAACTGTTTCTATTGTGGTTGGAGCTTTGGGTCTGGTAAAGAAAGGAACTCAAGAACAAATCAACAAAATCCCTGATGCACCATCTCTCCAGGAAATCCCAAAAATGGTTCTAACAAGAACAGCCCATACCTTGCAAAGAGCTTTGTCTCTTTAATTTTTTTTTTTTTTTTTTTGTTAATGTTCAGCACTCTGCATCATTAATATCACTTTCATTTCCACTGCATTCTTTTTCAAGGCTTATCAATTTCAGTATCCTTATTGTTAATTTTACTCAAAGTTGTTTTCTGTTGCCATAGCAGGATATGACAACACAACTATGAAATTCAAACACACTATTGTTCAGGAATCAGTCACCTTCAGTGGCAGGATAAACTTTTTGTGCAGCAAATAAAGTCACATAGAAAGTGATAGAGGTTAATAGGTTTCTTTCGTTTAATTAAGTGGAAAGAGCAAAAACTCACCTCCTTCATTTGCTCAAGGTCAAAGGTTATGACCTGTCATGTGATTATAAATCAAACGCAGTCAAAAATAATAATAATGATGATGTTAATAATAGAATAGTGACATAAATAGTTTTGAGATGTATACATGAAAAAAGCTTTGGAGTAAAGGCCTGTAAAAAAAAAAAAAAAAAAAATGAAAATACATTTTATACACCATGTTGTTGTTGTTATTATTATTATTATTGTAATAATAATAATAACAATAATAATGAGGTTGTCATCAAAAAAGCCTATTATAAGCTTTTGAGTAAAGGTTTGCAAAAAGTTTTACTTTTGATATATCCTAATATAGTGGTTCCCAAACTGTAGTACACCTCACAGGTGTGGCAGAAGAGGATAGCAGGTGAGGCAGAATGATTGAAGGACAAAGACTTAGAAACAGTTTCAAAAAATTCATATGCCAAAAATAAATAGGATTTCAAAATTTAAAATATTATTATGGATTACTTGTAATTGCATGCATGAGTCCCAGTATAAATAGTTATAAATAATTGACCGATTTTATCATGTCTTAAGAATATAGTAACTTATGTCCTCAAATTGGAAGAGAGAGTTATCAGTGACTTCAGACCCACAGTTATCTCCCTTTAACCCTCTCTTGTTTTTTTTTATTTTTAAATATACATTTTATCACATAAAAATTAGTGGAGTGTGAAAAAATTTTAATTCCTAAAATGCGGCCACGTGGCAGTACTCCTTTAGCCTCCGAAACTGTGTCCATCCCCCCACCCCCCGTTTGATGACTGGTGGGTATCACACCTATGTAGAGAATGTAATAATGTTGTGGATTCATTATTAGTCTATAGATGTCTACATGAAATAAGCTCACTATTTACATTATTCGGACTATTGTCCTTATCTTTGTCGCCATATGTATTACAACGTTTTAGCCGTTGTATGCTCTGGCCTTCTTCAGATGATTGGAATGTTGAACTGAACCCTTTATTTCACTCGCTGGGAAGAAAACCAGAGCATACAACGGCTGAAACATTGTAATAAATATGGTAACAAAGATAGGGACAATAGTCCAAATAATGTAAATAGTGTACATAATACCTCATCTCAAAAATATAGACAGATAATGAAATAAGCTTTAGGGTAAAGTGCTATAAAAGTAAAACTACTCCTGGTATGTCTTATCACTAGGCTCTTATTGGGTCATCTTCCTTTTCATACTATTGTATTTGGGAATAGCTGTAATTTATTTATGACGTTTACAGTTTATTTTTATTTTTTTCTTCTTCTTGATTTCAGAACAATCACAATTTTGTAAACATCCAAATTAAAACGCAACATCGTTTGTCTGGACAAAGCTACGAGTCGGGAGTGTCATCGCGCCAAAGTTACCACAGCACGTCCAGTTCCAGCTTAGGCAGCCTTGACCAGCTTGAAGAGAGTGGTTATTCAAGTCAAACCAACGTGGCGGACTTATTCAAAGCTGGACTCCCAGTAAGTAGCTTTCTTACATTGTTAAAAAAAAAAAAAAATTAAAAAAAAATTAAAGATGTCATACTGAATATTTTCTAGTTTGATAATATTTTCATGTTTCTCTCTACTAATAAAAGTAAATCCTGCGTTTCCGCACTATTTTTAGTTATTTCTTTTATCTTTTTTTTTTGTGACTGTGGGTTGATAGCTACAAAGTTATTTCGTACCGCTCCCCCTCCATTAAAAGTTTTGTTTTTATTTTTTTAAATAAAATAAAAGAAATTGATTTGACTTTTCTTTCTTTTTTTTTTTAATTTCATTAAAAATAAATAAATAAAATAAAATAAAATGAGATTGAAAGAAATCTGAGCAAAATAAAAAAAAAAAAAAGTATTTTATTTTATTCTCTTAGAATGCAATTTTATGGTAATGTAATTAATTGGTCGTTCGTTTGAAGGAGAAAAAAAAAACACTTGTTTATAGTTCCTGCTTCATTTTTTTTTTTTTAATTTATATAAAACTTTGAAGAAACTAATTTTATTTTATTTTTTAAATGTTGAAAAAGGAAGTATGTTATAAAGAAAAGCAAAAATTCACATTCATCAATTTCTTTGTTGTTTTGTTACTATTTCCTTATTTTAAAAAAAAGTTGGTACATTGTGCTTTGTTGGTAGACAGAGATAGACTGAGATAGATAGATAGATAGATGTGAACAGACTGAGATAGATAGATAGATAGATGTGAACAGACCGAGATAGATAGATAGATGTGAACAGACCGAGATAGATAGATAGATGTGAACAGACCGAGATAGATAGATAGATGTGAACAGACCGAGATAGATAGATAGATATGAACAGACTGAGATAGATAGATAGATAGATTTGAACAGACCGAGATAGATAGATGTGAACAGACTGAGATAGATAGATAGATAGATGTGAACAGACTGAGATAGATAGATAGATAGATGTGAACAGACTGAGATAGATAGATAGATAGATGTGAACAGACTGAGATAGATGTGAACAGACCAAGATAGATAGATAGATAGATGTGAACAGACCGAGATAGATAGATGCTAATAGACTGAGAGATAGATAGATATGAACAGATTTTGAGAGTTAATCATAAAAAATCTACATCCTGATGAAATTATCTTGTATAGCCCTTGGATTAAGTAACAGTTGCAATAATGTTTTTTTGTTCCTTCCAATAGATCCAAAATCACTGCAATTAATTTCTAAATCTGGCTAATGAAAACATCATTGATGGGATACTTGTATAGTGTGTCAGTGCAGGGATTTAAAGTTGGTTGATGTAACACCTGCTTGTGTGGCTCTGTGGCATTGTTTGTAGCGATAATGCTTTTGATGTCAGGCTCCCACAAAATTTGCAAATATTTTTTACTTCTATATACCACACATACATACATACATACATATATATATATATATATATATATATATATATATATATATATATATATATGAGTATAGTGTGAATTTTTATTATCACAGGTAATTATTTGGAAGAGATTAAAAATCATGCATTTTTGGTAACCGGTTGGACTTTGAACAGGTAAAAAAATTTTTCTGGGGGGTTCAAACTCATGCATTTTTGGTTACTGTTCACCTATGTTCTCACGGTACCTTTGATCATTAGTCCAAATATACTGATAACTACCTTTTTAGAAAAAAAAATCCCCTCAGCTAAGGATTAAATAGAAGAGTAGATTGAATGACAACCAGTGTATGAGAAGGAAAATTTTGAATTTCTGTGGCAACAGGAAACTATTCTATCTTTCCCAAGAATGCACAGCAATTCACAGATAGTAATAAATAAGAAGTTGTGGTGGATCATGATTACCCATTTAAAAAAAAAAAAAAAAATTACAGGGATATTTTTTAAAAATTAGATTGAAGGTTTACTTTAAAACTTAAAAAAAATTCTTTTCTAAACAGTCAGTATTGTACTTGTAAAATCAGCTATCACTCGTATATAAGCATGTGATTCAAGAAAGAAACAAAAAAAGCAGAATCCATTTTTTTTTTTTTTTTTCCGACAGAGCAGGTGGAAAGTAAAGTTGGAAGAAAGATATCCAATAAAATCCGTTTCCACGTCTCCACCCATACCTGACACTCCTTTATCAAACTCTCATTCTGTTTTGATATTTGGTTAGTTACTTTATCAATTGATTTTGGAAAAAAGGTGAAGTATTGATCTTTGCTATCAGCTAAGAAGAGGGGAGGGTTTGGTTGGAAGCTGCAGTGGAAAACAGGTTACAAATTGCTTTTAATGCTAGAATAAATGTTTAGAAAAAGTTTTTGTGTGCCTTTTTTGTTTCTTTTTTTTTTTTTAACTGTTTTCTAAAAGAAATATCTGAACACAAGCTGATATTTATAAACTACACTCTCTTTAGAGCAAACACTAAAAGCATTTCCGATCTAGGATCAGAGTGTAATATCTGCTCAATCCCTGACCCTTCTGAGCTAGAATCAGTTATACATTCTGGCTGAGAAAACTACATTATTATTCTACTTGTTTGCATATATGACTGTTAAGCTTTTCTGTCATGAATCAATGTGTAGTATCTGTTCAATCTCTGGCCACCTAAATTGGAATCAGTTACACTTTGTGAATGAGAAACACATTCGTTTTATTATTATGCTTGTTTGTATGCACAACTGTTATGCTTTTCTACCTAGGATCAGAGTGTAGTAGCTGTTCAATCTTCATCTGTTCTAAACTGGAATTTGTCAGACATTCTGGCCGAGAAACTTATCTATACTATTGGTCTGCTTGCTTGTATGTACAACTGCTGTTTTTCTATCTCTGATCAGAGTGTAGTATCTGCTCAATCCCTTGTTCCTCTGATCTGGCATTTTTAGTAAGTGTAACTTACTTGTGGCACAAGGCTGAAAGCATGGAACACTGAGTAAGAATCGAACTCACTACTCAGTCGTAACTGATCTAGTGAGGCAAGCTTGTTAACCATTACACCACGCCAAAATGCTCATGGTTCCTCTGATCTGGCCAAGAAACCTGTTACTCATTTCTACCTCAGATCAAAGTGTAGTATCTGTCCAATATTCTGACCAACTCTTGTATAAGGATTCATCTTGGGAATCTTTGGTTTCTAGTTAGATTCTTTGCATATACAGGGTGCGATAGGTAAATTGTCACCATTATATATTTTTAGTTTTGCGCATGCGTGTTGTTTGCTTTTGATTTTGTCAATTTCACAGTATAGTAGGGTCAGTTGGGCACCATCTGTGAGAAAAAGAGCATCATGACACAATTCACTCTGCCAGAAATTTGGAAATGGAATGCTGTACTGCTTGGCATTCATGCCAGAAGCTCCAATATGAACATTTCAGATTGTTTGGGTGTCAATCTGAGGACAGTGCAGAGGATTCAGAAAGAGTTGGATGTGTCTAAAGGTGTTTCGAGTGAACACTAGTGACGGTGATGCTATGCCTCCATTCATCATCCCAAACGAGGCCTACATCAAGTGGCTTGAGGAGGTAGTGCTGCTCTTGGTCAAGAGGGTGGCTGCTGAAAGACCCTATTTCTGGCAACAAGATTCTGCACCATGCCACACAAACAGGAGAATCCAGTTATGGCTGTTAGACAATTTCTGCAACCACATCACCCCTTATATCTGGCCAACTAACTCCCTAGACTGCAACCCTCTTGATTATTATGTGTGTGAGAGATCAACAAAACTCCTTGTAACACCAAAGATGAACTGAAGGCAAAGATTATGGCAGCATTCACCAACTTAAACAAGGAAACTGTCCAGAAGAGTTGCTGGAGATTCTGAAGTCGTCTGGAGACTGTGGTTGAAGCCAATGGCGATTTTATTAAATAAATTTACTCTTTAGTATTTTAAGATATTTTTTCTGTAATTTTGATAAATATATTTATTAAAATGAGATGTCAGTGTTATTTTCATCTTTATATAAAGACGAAAATTTATTCATCACACCCTGTATTTGTGAGGATTTTCTTCAAATTTCAACTGTTTGCTGTTGATCTCAGTGTCCACTTTGATATTTACATATGCTCTATCCCTGATATTGAGCATTTTGCCCTATATAGCATACCTTAAAACTATATTTTTATCATATATATATATATATATATATTGTATATTGTGGATGTTTTCATAATTTGTAAATTAAGATATATGTCTACTTTCACAGACTTATATCATTCACATTATACTACCATAATAATATGCTGTCTAAGTTGTAAGTACTAATGAAAAATAATCTTTGTAATGACTAACCATTTAGTCAAAAGTGCTCAGAACCAACAAACCTTTTGGAACAATTTTTTTATATTCATTAAGTCTAGAAAAAAAAAGACACTTGTCCTTATAGAAAAAAAAAGTACTATAAAAAAACAACAAACAAAAGTAACTTGTCAGTCTTGTTCCACAAAACATGTATTAAAGAAGGTCTACTGTCCAAATGCAGAAAAAAATATATATATAGTTGTATATTTAGGCAGCAATCCTTCCATTATGCATGTTTCATTAAAAACGACAGACAAGGTACTACGGTTAAGCTTATTATTTAATTTTTCTTGTGTTTGAACAAGAGCTTTCTTTTCTAGACAAAGGGTCTGTAAGAACTGTCCAAATGTTTTATATTTCCGAGCACTTACAGCTATAACTTTAGCTATTACCAAGGATGATTCGATTTTTCAGCTTAATTGAGTGTGTGCATTCTGTGTATGTCTTTGTGTGTGGTAGGGATGTTTTTAATTTCCGAATATGGTTAGCACATTGTGGCTTTGTTCATAGTTAATATTGTTAAGGGTTAGCTTTTTCTTTTTTATTATTAAAGCTTCCATTATTTTTAGTCTTTTTTTGCAGGTGGATGCAGTTAATATATTTGTGTTTTCTACTAGTATGTTCCTAATGGAGTCGGGTAAATTTGTGTGTGTGTTTAAATGGGTTCTAATGGAGCTGTGATCAGATAGGTGTAACATAAGACGGCTGGATAAGCATGTAGTTGTGTAACCGATGTAATTATTTATGAGTCTGGTTTGATCAGGAACACAGTTCCTTAAGGGGCATTTGAACTCATAGATAATGTTTGTTCTTTGTAATTTTGACTTAACTGGTGTGTTATTATTTTTGAGGATAAGGTTGGCTATCTTAAATTTTTTATAACAGATAATTAATCCAGGTCAATTGTTCTTACACACCCTTTGTCCCAAAAAGAAAGTTCTTGTTCGAACAAAAGAAAATTAAATAAAAGCTTAACCCGTAGTACCTTGTCTGTTGTTTTTAATGAAACATGCACACACATATATATATATATATATATATATATATATATATATATATAAAATGAAAGTATCACACTGATTAATCAGTTGGGTTAGGTTTACTTACCCTCAATAAATATTGGCAAAAGAAATTAATGAAAAATCTTTGAGAATATTTGAATTCATTCTCCGCCTAACTGATGAGTCTTAAACTAGGAATGAGATTTCCGCGGCATAATAAATAAAGATGATTGAGTACATAAACCGATTGTGTGTGGGTGGGGGAACAAGATGGCAGAACGAGAGGCAAATATTGATATGATCAATTAACAATTATTAGCTAATGAATTGGTCATGGAAATATAGGGGCACATCTTTTGACGAGTTCTTATTACAGTTATTAAAATCTGACTGTGTATTGTGTAACATTTTACATCATTAGCCTTTTTTGGCATACACACACACACACACACACACACACACACACACACACACACATATATATAAATATCATCCCCTTGACTTTTCTTATCATGGGGGGAGGGGGATCACAATGCAGAAACCATATTGAATCTTCTCCACAACGGCCTATCAATGACAGCCATCAGCAATTCTGGTATAGCCATACTTATCCATTGTTTGACATTGTCAAACCAGTTTTTACGTTGTCATCTTCTTCTACATCTACCTTCAACAATGCCTTGCATAGGCTGTCATGTTTTGTAATGTGTCCAAACCATGCCATTTCTCTCTCTCTCTCTATATATATATATATATATATATATATATATATATATATACACACACACACACAAAATCTAGGGCCTTCTCCCTCCTGTTGGAGGACCTCCTTCCTGGTTGACCATGTCTTCAGAGGTGTAGCTGTACTCACCACACTTGCGAGTTGGTGAGGCTATTTAACCCATAGTTGGGAGTTTTGAATTCTGAGTTGTCCTTCACAAAAGACAAATTCCCACCTAAGGCTATTTAGCCATACCTTGGAGGAGACGAGATGGAACCATACTATTTCCAAAATGTGGTCACTATTTCACTTAGTATAGTTGCAGTATAAACCACTCTGTGGATTAAGCAGGTGTCAATAATAGGAAGTTGCTAGATCCACCCTGGCAGACAGGTGTACTCAGAAAGAAGTAGTAGCCAGTTATTGATTAATAAATAATTTGGAAATATTTATTGTATACATACATATATATATATATATACACACACACACACACACAAATTAAAATTTAAAAGGATCATTTTTGACCAACACTTCTTCAAAATAATACGTTGGTTGTACCTTTTTAAATAAAAAAAAATGAAACAAATTCACACAGCAAAAGCCATGTACATACAGGAAGGTTAAATGAAGAACCATGACTAAAATTGAAATTTATTACTAAAACAACAAAAAAAAAATGGGATATGGCAATAAACCAAAGTATATAGGTTCCTAGTGAGTATAGAATAGAAATGTTTTTTTACTCACAGCCCTCCTAACAGAAATAGAGAACGAATAAAATTCTCTTTCTGTCTACACAAAGACATTCACTGTAGCACTGCCGCCAAAATTTGCAAGTATTTGGCTGACCATGCTCTGCATAAAATGGTAAATGCTGTATCCATGTATAGCTAATAACTCAGAAGCCATTTGAATCAAGTGTGTGCTGCTGTTTGCAACACCTTGTCTAATATTGGCAGGCACATGTTGTCCAATCCGAGTCATACTTTATATATATATATATATATATATATATATATAATATGCATTATGTATGCATATGCAGAGTTATATATTTACTTGATGTACAGTGACCCAAAAATATTGATATCATTTAATGTGTGAA